GTAGTAGTAGTAGTAGTAGTAGTAGTAGTAGTAGTAGTAGTAGTAGTAGTAGTAGTAGTAGTGTAAGTAGTAGTAGTAGTAGTAGTAGTAGTAGTAGTAGCAGTAGCAGTAGCAGTAGCAGTAGCAGTAGCAGTAGCAGTAGTAGTAGTAGTAGTAGTAGGAGGAGGAGGAGGAGGAGGAGGGGGAGGGGAGGGGAGGGGAGGGGAGGGGACGGGACCTCCGCCGGCCTCCGCGGGCCTCCCGCTGGCTGCCGCCAAGGGCCGAGTCGCGGCGCGGCAGAGGCAATCCGCCCGTACGTTCAAGTTGCCTGGGGCGCTCGGCAAACAAACTGGCTGGGAGATGGGGGGGCCAGACCTCCAGAGACCCTTCGAGTCGCCGGCCCTCCAATTCTCACCCCATTCTCCAGGCTGGCTTTGCAGCACCCGGCCCCCTGCTTGCGGCCTCTGGTCGCCGACGCGAGGCACTCTGGGCGCGACTTCCCTGAGTCGCCCTGGGAGTCTGGGCCCTCGGAGGTCTCCGGGAGCCCGCGGAGAGCCCAAAACAGAAAAACAACACAAGACTGACAAAAAACCGGCCTCGGCCCTCATCCGAAAACCCTCGACGAGGCGGTCCCTTCGGAAGGGGCCACCTCGCAGGGTTCTCCAGGTCCAGCAGGAACACGGCGTGGTCAAGCCACTGCCTGTTGTACGGCGCGAGCACATCCGAGGACACCCCACTCTCCACATAGTGTTTGTACCTGGGGCAGGTCGTCCTCCTTACTCATTGTCATCCCTCTCTTCCTACTCCCCCTTCCCCTCCTCCTACTCCCACTCCTCCTCTGCAGCAGTGCCTCCAATCATCCTATTAACCAGCCGCCTACTCCTCCCTCTCCACTTGTGTCCTTCTTATTTTCTCCTCCCTCCTTACTCCTCTTCTCCTACTCCTCCCTCCCCTCCTTCCGTATCAGTTTCCCCTTCATCATCCCTAACCTCCTCCTCATCACATCATCATCCTCATCTCATCCTCATCGCTTCAGCCCTCTCAATCACTCACACCCATCCTCCTCCTCCTCCTCCCTCCTCCTCTCCTCCTCCTCCTCCTCCTCTCCTCCTCCTTCTCCCCTCCTCCTCCCCTTCTCCTCCTCCTGATCCTGATCCTCCTCCTCTCCTCCTCATCTCCATCTCCTCCTCCTTCTCCTCTCCTCATCTACTACTCCTCCCCCTTCAGTCTCATCCTCTCCTCTCCTCCCCTACTCCCCTCCTCTCCTCCTCCATCCTCCTCCTCCTCCTCCTCCTCCTCCTCCTTGATCCCCATCACCCATCCTCCTCACCCTCCTCGTTCCTCCCTTCCTTCCTGCCTTCCTTCCCTCCTCCCTCCTGCATCCTCCTCCTCCCCTCTGCCCCTGGGAGGGTTGCCGGCTCAGGGCCCGGCAGAACTCCTGCTGCCCCACGCCAGCCTGGTCCAGCTCCTCGGCTGCTCAGCGGAGGGTAACGAGGAGGAGGAGGAGAAGGTGTGAGGAGGAGGAGGAGGAGGAGGCATCCTTGAGCGCGTGGAGGAGAGGAGGAGGGGGAGAGGAGGAGGAGGAGGAGGAGGAGAGAGGAGGAGGTGGAGGGGGGGGGAGGAGGAGGGGAGGAAGCGGAGGAGGAGGAGGAGGAGGAGGAGGAGGAGGAGGAGGAGGAGGGAGGAGGAGGAGGAGGAGGAGGAGGAGGAGGAGGCGGGCGAAGGAGGGAGGAGGAGGAACCAGTGCTGCAACACGCCCTCCCTCAAGTACCCCTTCACACAGGTCCCTACAAGAATGTGCTGTCATTGCGGCGAGTGCTCCACTGAAAGACAAGCGTCTGAGATTCCTCGGTCGTGCCGAACACTGCTCTTGGGACATCAACGCCGCGAAACAGCATGACTGTTGCACGCTGACATTCCTACATCGCGCCAGAACAGCATCCCTGGGACTGCAACACCGCGGATCAACGTTACTGCTGCGTCCTGGCAATAAAAAATCCTGCCAGAACACATGTCCTGGAACTTCAACCCTTCGAAGCCCTGGAACTGCTGCAACAGTTTAAGACGAATGCGCGCGACGCGAAGGCGAGAGCCACATCCCGCAAAAGGAGCTACCTTCCATTCCCGAAGCTGCAAGAAAGCGAGAGCCGCATTTTGAGAACTAGCCGCCCTCCATCCTTGAAGCTGCTGCGAACGTTCAAGACGGATGTGCAATGTGCGAAGTCGAGTCACAGTTTGAAAAACGACCCGCCCTCTATCTTTGCACTGTTGCATACTTGTAGCTTCAGGTCAAACGTTGTTCGGAAATCTCAGGCGAAACGCCTGGCCCACCTTACCGACCCGTCTGGGGGTGCGACAGGCAGGAATGATTCATCAGGAAAACGGAGAAGGAAGACGGCGAAGACGACGACGACGACGACGATGACGATGACTACGACGACGACGACGACGACGACGACGACGACGACGACGACGACGACGACGACGACGACGACGACGACGACGACGACGACGACGACGACGACTACGGCAGGGGGCCACATGTGAACCCTACCCCTACCCCCCACGATGTTTGAGGGGAGGGTGAGGTTCACTTCCCTCGGGAGCCCCCGAAAAAAGTGAACCCCACACTCCCCCTCGGAAATCGTGGGGGGTAGGGGTAGGGTTCACATGTGGCCCCCTATACGGGGAAGGAGAGGGGATGGAGGAGGAGGACGAGCAGAGGGGAGGATGGAGAAGGAGGGGGTGGGGGAGGAGGAAGAGGGGGGAGGAGAGGGACGACAAGGAGGGGTAGGAGGAGGATAGGGAGGACGAAAAGGAGGAGGAGGACCAATGCAAACCGAAGACTCATCAACGATAGGACAATCAACCCGTAAAACTCTTGCAAATGTTTAGAATGGAGGTGCGCGGCGCTAAAGCGAAAATCACATGTTGAAAGCGGGCCGCCATCCATCCGTGAAAATTTTGGAAAATTCAAGCTTCAGGACCATCAATGGTGCAGAAGTCCCTAGCGAAACGCCCAGCCCGCCCTTTCGACCAGCCTCGGGGTGCGACAGGGATGAGTTTAAGGAAGACGAATGGAGGAGGGGAAGGAGGAGGAGGAGGAGGAGGAGGAGGAGGAGAAGGAGGAGGAGGAGGAAGAGGAGAAGGAGGAGGAGGAGGAGGAGGAGAGGAAGAGGAGGACGAGGAGGAGGAGGAAGGAGATGCGGAGGAGGAGGGGGAGCGAGAGAAGGACAGCGGGGGGAGAAGAGGGCAGGCGAGGGGAGGGGACGGAGGGAGGAGGGGGAGGGCAAAGCGGAGAGGAAGCACGGAAGGCAGGAGGACGAGGGAGAGCTCCTGCTGCACGGGGGAGCCCTCCGTGATGCGGGGCCACTCGGACGCCCAGTCGATGGCGCGGACGTCCACCGCCCTCCCGTCGTTCGCCGAGTTCTTGTCCTTGCGCTCCTGGAGGGACACGAAGCGATGGCCAGGACCAGGACACGATTCCGGTCACAGTCCATCCTGGTCGTCGTCGATTCGTGGATCATCCTCGCGAATCGGCGACGGCCAGCATGGACCATGGCCAAGATCGGCATCGACGAAATCATGCGACATGTTGGTCATGGTTATCGCGATTCTTCCCTCGAGCTCCACCCGGCTCTTCTTCCACCGCACCAGGCACCCCACGTCGTCCCTGATAGCGTTGTCTATGACCAGGGTCGCGGAAGTGTCCGAATAGTTGGTGGCTATCATGTTGGAGACCCGATCGTTCTCCATCTCCTCGCGAAACAACGCGGCCTGGGTGCGGCTGCAGCGGTCCAGCAGTGGTGGGAACAGCTGGTCGTTGACTGGCAGCGTCCGCGTGAGCAGGGGTGCCTGCGAGGGATGACATTGACCTCCACACTGAATGGCCCCCAGCCTGCTTTTTCAGTGTGCCAACACTGACTTGGCTGAACGCGTCCGACACAAGAAAGACCCAATGTGCTAGGTCCATGTCAGCATGGCTAACTTCCGGAGGAAAACCTAGGGGACTGGCTACTATCCAGAGCGCAACCCAATCTGTGTAGGCGGCAAGGAATAAGGCTGCTGAGCCCCGTGCGGCTGGAAACAACGTACTCACGCTGCTGACTTCTTCACGCGTGCGGCCGCGCAACCTCCAGCTGCGGCCACTCGGGGCACGACTGGGTTTATGGCCCCGCGCCACGCCGAGGACGAGAGAGCAAAGAGGCGGGGCGCGGAGGACGCGAAGCGGCGGGGCGAGCGACGGGGCGACCGCGCGGCCAGGTGCCGCGACGAAGCCCGCGGGCACGACTGCTGTCACCGTGCTGCGGTCCAGAACGCGGACTGAAGCACGAAGGAGCCTCTCTGGCCGCGGCAAGCCTCGGCCACGAGAAGGCTCCTAGTGGGAACCGAACTCTATACACAGACGCGTTTTCCGGCGTTGTACTGAAGCTTGCACATGAAAGCGGATCCTGGTGTATACGGGGCCCTGGTGTATACATGTGCCGTTGATTCCCCGGGAAGCGGAGAAACAAGGTATACACCACACCACCCCGACGTCGTCCCCGACCCGCAAAAAAAAAAAGCCCTGGGACCGAAAGACAGCCCAGCCACTGGTCATGTACACGTTCCGGCTTCCGACCTGGACTCCGACCTTGCAGAACGGCCTCAGAACCGGGGCCCCCTCCCGAGCCCCGAGGTGGTCCTGACTTCAGCGTCCCGACTGGTCTCGGCCCGCGCCCCGACGCCTGCGCGGGCGCCGGGCGCCGAGGCGCCGGCACGAGAAGGCAACTCCTGCGGGGAGGGCCGGCCGCTCCGCACTTGGAGTCGGTGCCCTGGAGCGCCGCAGACGAGGTAGGCACATCAGGTCGAACAACACTATGTGTATACATACATACATACATACATACATACATACATACATACATACATACATACATACATACATACATATATACATACATGCATACATACATACATACATACATACATACATACATATATACATACATACATACATACATACATACATACATACATACATACATACATACATACATACATACATACATACATACATACATACATACATTACATACATACATTACATACATACATACATACATACATACATACATACATACATACATACATACATACATACATACATACATACATACATACATACATACATACATACATACATACATACATACATACATACATACATACATACATACATACATACATGCATACATATATACATACATACATACATACATACATACATACATACATACATACATACATACATACATACATACATACATACATACATACATACATACATACATACATACATACATACATTACATACACAAGACTGCGTTGACTGCGTTGACGCTTCGCGCCACGCACCTTGGTCCTTCGAGCTTCGCATGTGTTGGCACGTGGCGTCATCCTCTTTGGCCTTTGGAGTATGGCCGTGTCCTCTCAAGTCCCCATTGCCCGTTCCTCATGTGCTCTCACCCTCGATCTACATGTTCGTGCGCCACCTGAACTTTTCTTGGGGGTGCGTTTTGAGTTGTATTGCGAGGCGAGCCCGATGACGTGCCGACGAGAACGTTCCTGGGGACCGACGACTCACAGTGGCTGTGCGTTTCTTCCCCTCCCGACGCGTCGCCCGACAGCTGCTCGGAGGTGGCTGGAAGCCAAAGGGGCCGGCGGCGGCGCCCTGCCCGGGCAGAAAGAGAGCCGAGGGCGGGCCAGCGGAGGGCACCGCGCCTCCGGCGGGGGGCGCGAGCGCCGGCGAGCACGACGAGGCACTCGCGGCGTGGCAGCCAGGCGCGGCCACCGCTCCCTGGCCGCCCGGCCGCGCGGCAGGGAGGCGCACGGCACGGCCAAGGGGGGCCCCAGGACGGCCCAGGAGGCCCCCGAGAGGGGCCCAAGGGAGGCCCCCGAGAGGGGCCCCGAGAGGGGGGGAGCCCGACCCTGGCTCGCGAGCGGCCTTCTCCGAAGGGTGGCCTCCGAGACTGCCGGAACGAGCCCCGAGGGGGCCCCTCCAGAGGCAGGCCCCGAGACCCCCCCCCTCAAGAAGGCCCCAGGAGGCCCCCCGAGAGAGGCCCCCAAAAAGGGGCCCCCGCGAGCACGCCCCCGAGTGCCAGCGATGCCACAGGAGGGGCCGGCGCGGTGAGCGAAGAGGCGCTTGGGCGCACTGCGGGACAGCCCCGCGGGGGCGACCTCGGGCACGCCAAGAGCGCGACGGCCCCGCGAGGGCCGCCGCACCGCCGCCGCACCGCCGCCGCCCCCCCGGTGCCAGCAGCGGGGACGGGCTGCTGCCCGTCGTCGCGCCCGGACTACCTGCCAGACCGCCCCAGCCCAACCCGAAGACCCGAATCTCGGTTTTTGGGGGGGTGCACGTCGTTCAGTTCTAAGCGCGCTCACTTCTCATTGTGCTCGTTTCTGCTTGTTCCTGGCCCCCTAGTGGCCAGGAAGAGGCCCAGGATAGAGCAATCAGAAATGAAAGAATAGTGCCCCCTCCAGAAAAAATCAAAGAACTTTCGACTAATTATAGGAAGGAACAACGTGGACGGGTTCCACGTGTGATTCTTCGACGTTCCCGACACCCCGTCACCACCACCACTGGAGATTGTTGTTTTGCACACACATACACACAAGACCACACGGCACCTGAGGGTCCGAGACAACGCGACCCGGGGGCGAAATGCTCCCCAGACTTGACGGCGGCGGCCGATCGTCATATGCACACTACCCAGTATATGACGGGGCGTGGCGATCGGCACCCCCCACCACCACTGGAGGTGGAGGGCGCAGTGCGGCCTTCGGGCTGGGCTGGGGTGGCCTGGTGGGCGGCGGCGCCTGCCCCTGGCCACGGCCAGCCGCAGCCCCGCGCGGACTCGCGCCGCCCCACCCCGCGCGCACGGCGCGGCACGGCGGGCGCGGGGGGCCGAGGCGGAGGAAAATCGAGAGCGGCTTCCCAGGCGGAGCGGCCAAAAGAGGGGGGCGTCCAAGAGGGGGGGGTGCAAAGCATGACCGGCGGCATGTGCGCGGCCCAGGGGGGGGGGGGCCAGGGACGCAATGAAAGAAGAAGAGGCGCCGTGAAATCTGGGGAAAGGAAATATCATGGCCCCCGCCAGGATATCCACCCCCCCCGAGCCATCACCCCCTCCTTGCCGCCCCCGATGCCGGTGGAGCGAGGAGCGCAAACGGGTCCTGCGCGAGATGGCATCACGACGCGACGCGGCACGCCTGCGCGGGCACCCGGCGCGGCACGCCGCCCTGGCAACGAGGGCGCCCACGCGCGACCCTGCGCCGGCAGCTCACGCTGCCAGCGTCGGCGCGGGCGACCCCGTTGTTCTGCGTCGCTCAGATGTGAAGGGGCCCTGGGACACACAAAAAAAAAATACACACAAATCAAAAGATTCCCCATATTTTCCTATAGTTTCTGGGTTTCTGTCTTCCCCCCAACTTCCCATATTTTCCCATATTTCCTGGGGAATCGAGGATTAATTGTGTCTGTGTGTTTCTTTCCCTCCTGAAGGAGGCGGCCTCATCCCCCACACCGGACCAGCAACACAAACGACACTACCCCACCTAGTTATACGGCCCCAGGGGGGGCTCCGCGCGCCTTGCGCTGCGGACCCCGATGGCCTACAGCGCAACGCAGCGGGCCGCAGGGGGGGGGGTGTCGTTTGTTTGCGGGTCGACGCACCTCTAGCACGTTTTGTCCATCGGCAGCGCAGGGCGAACGCGGGCGCGGTCGGCGCCGGCGGGACGCGCAAGGGCGCGGGGCGCGAGGGCAGCAGGAGGAGAGGAGGGCCGCCGTGGAGGCGGAGAGGGGCTCCTCCACCCCGGAGAAGCTGGAGGAGGTGGGAGTCGGACGGGGCGCACAGGGACACACGCACTCCACTACTCGTCAAGTAGCTACTCGCAAATGGCCTGGATCCGCCGCGGGGGATTTACGATTTATTACATCCAGGCAAACGACTATTGTTCGGACGTGTGCGAGTAGGCACTTTGCGAGTAGCGGAACGCGCCCGGTGAGCACAGAGACATACTAGTAATACGTGTCCTCCTTGGAGGCGCGCGTTCGACCCGAACATGTAGTATACCCATCTGGTAGCCTATCGTTGCCCAAGCGGTGTGGCCAGAAAGCGCCCGCCACGACGCAGATGCTATAAGATTTCTCGGCGCGCGCGTCGCCCCTGGGGAGCGACGCACACATTGACAGTAGTGTGTGTTGGGGCGGCGCCGATGGGCAACTCCACAGGAGCGGACGCTGGCCGGGGCTGGAGAAAACCCTGCGGGCGCCGAGACGAGCCCGGAACGGTTGGGATATACAAGGCCGCCAGGGCTGGAACAGCACTGGGGGGAAAGCTGGCCAGGGCTGGAGAGAATGGTCCGGCTGGCCCCGGTCACCTTCCCGACGCTGCCCTCAGACTGCCCGAACGGCATCGGCCTCTGGAGCGCCCTCGTACGAAGAGCGGGCGCGGGGGCAGAGGCGGCAGGAGGCAGGGGAGGCGAGGGGGCGGGTTCCAGGCAGCGTGGCAGAGGTCAAGGTCTTCCCTCCGGAGGCTCCTTCTGGCCGCCCAGCAACGGACTCCGCCGAGAGCCCGCCATGAGGGTCGCCGGGAACGGCACCAGCGCGTTGGGCTTCCGGAGGGACTCCTGCAGCGGCGGGACCACTTTGGGCCGTAGCATGTTCCTCGGCATGCCTTTCCTGGGCTCCTCCCCCTTCTGGAGAAGGAGGATGATGACGACGACGACAACCAGAAGAAGAAGAAGAACGGAGGACGTAGGACGGAGGATGGAAAGAAAGAAACCAGAAACTGGAACGGACGCACTTCACCACGCTG